ATATTTTTTGTAACCAAAAAGATGGGAAGTAACCTTAAAATCTGGATTTAAACATTATCTCAAAAGGAAAAAGATAGGTGTATTTAAACACGATAAAAACATGAACACAGACGGAAAAAAAGCTTGGAATGAATCGAAACAATTTGATATCTCGCAATATCTGTCATATCTTTAACACTGCTTTATCTGAAGATATACAGGTGAACTTTACGACGTATGCTCCAGGTTTGCCTAACCTTTTAAGGAATACGCGTACATGTTGTGTCCTGGTGTGGAAAACTGTGAGAAATTTAAGGGGGTACACAACACCTAAGAAAGATAACTCTAACTCTTTGGTCTGTTTCATTGCAGCGTTTTAAAATTACATGCAATATGCAAGACTTTTAAAGATCCAGATCAGAATGTTTACTTGTTGCTAAGAGCAGACGATCAGGCTATCGTAATTCGTTAATCTTGTTAAAAATCCACCTTAATCTATAAATAGTTACAAATTTTTCCATAAATGAATCAGCAAAGAGACAAAACAGGCAAATTTCAAGGCAAAGTTAATGTAAACAAGAAAAACAAGAGATCCGATTTTTTCAAGTGGTCAAATGAAGGGAAGAAGAAGGACCGCGAAATAGTTGGCTTATTTAATGACCACTTAAACTATATTCATGACCACACAGATATAGCAGCAGAGGCTGCGATCACTGATCCACTTTATGGGAAACAACAGTCCTGGGTTGTGGGGAGGAGGATTGTTGAATTAGACCTTCTTGCAGTGGGAATGTACTGCTGTATTTGTAAGTCCCCTCTACACCTGTTTATTTGGTCTAAGTGGCATTATTATGATCCGTTGTGAACTTTGTGACACAGTGACAGATGTCCAGACAGGGAAAAGAGGACCAACTGGAAGTTATGATATCAACACAAAAGCAGCCATAGGTAGGTTTACATTTAGTTATTGCGAACCCAATGATACTTTTCCACAGATTCACCTGCAAGTTACCTGTCGATTTAAACGTTTGTAAGTTCTTTTGTCCCATCTAATAAATACAATAGCTATTGTTCTCTGTGTAGTTTATTTGATGGGACCTTTAAATTTCTTCCAAGAGAAATCTATCACTCACTGATTAATTTACCTGAACAAAAAATTGAACTGTCAAAAATGAAAATACATGTACAAATACTAAGTAAGGACTCAAAAAAACTGCATTTGGTGTTGTTTGTTTATTTGTTTTTTGTTTTGTATTTATTCAATATCAATAATTCATTTTTAATTGTTTCAATATAAACACTGATTCAAAAATTAAAAGTTGATTTCTGAACAATTTTTTTATATTTTCCCTATTAAAATTTGCTTTTTTTTGTGTGTTTGACAAATAAAAACTTGAAACTTATTGTGTTTAAATTAAGGTCTTGAAAAAAGTAATCTATAACTGAACAACAACAAAAACATGCAAATTCATTGGAACAATACTTAAAATTTTGTCAGAAATAAACTTTTTATAATTAAATCAGTGTTTACAGTACGGATAGAGAATTATTACTATAAATAACGGACTGGGACATGTCGGAAATGAATAATCGGACATTTTTATGGTAGGTAGTTTGGTCAATAATCAACAGATCCAGGTGTGAATGGTAATATATTTGTCCTTTCTTCTTATTCCGTGCTACCAGACAATTACGCTTCACTGATTTCAGAATCATGTAACATGTAATTTTAACCTCTCAGTCACTTAATTGATTATATTAGTTCTACATCGTATTTGACATAAAATATTTTTACAGGTAAAATACTGGAAAAAACTTTGTTTTAAGAAAAATAGCCTAATTTTTTAATTATGGCTTTTTATATTTCAACTGCTATTTATATTCTTTGTTCCTTAAAATAATTTTTATTTTAAGTTCCTTTTTTTTTGTATCTTTTTCTTATTTGTTTGCATAAAGTTTTTTTTACATATTTTCATTTTATTTCTGGGAGGTTATTTTTGTTTTACTGATTTATTTTCCACGTAAATTCATTGATTAGCAGAATGTTGTGCAAAGTGCTGCTGCATACGTTTTAGTTTGATGCGGTCACATGCAAAATATTGCTATATTTAACCACACTACATTTGTATTTAATATTCAGTCTGTGTTGGGTCAGTTCCGAGATAAAAATAATTACAGTGAGCAATACTTGTATACTAGTAGTTTGATGATTCTTTATTGTGTGAATTTACTTTTTACTGTAAACAAATATTGTCCGAAAGTTGGAGATATGTAACTAAAATAGAACGCAAATAATAACAATTCTCCTCGGGCATAAGGTTTATTTTAATTTTTCTGTGTTTGTTAAATATGCATGAAATTATTGCCACTGACATGACTGGACATTAAAACTAGAAGCATTAAATTGTTTGATGACCAGTTAATTAAATATTTACTTTGTTTTTGTAGTCTGAAGAAATGAACATTTTATGACTGTAACAACCTTTAAAAAGTTTTAACAAACATTTTACAACTGTCCCAACTCTAAAAACGTTGTAACAAACATTTTTTGACTGCATCAACGTCTAAAAAGTTGACACAAACAAATTTCAACTGTCCCAACTATTAAAAGGTTGGGACAAACATTATACAACTGCCACAACTTTTGGAAAGACTGTAATAAATAGTATTTGACTGTGACAACCCCGTAGACCACTGCAACAGTCCTTAAATGACTGTTGATAACATATTTTGATTTTCACAACCCATAAAAGTGTTGGGACAGACATTAATCAACTGTATCAGTTTCTTTGACAGTCATCTTCAGTCTTCCACAGACTAAGACAGTCGTAGAACGACTGTTACTGGTATGGACAGTTGTTTTTTCGTCCAGTAGTGTATGGTATAAGACGGAATCTCTATAACATGTATAAGTTCTTCAGGGACTTCTCCCTCTGGGGCTGAACCTCTTCTTGCTGTTCCGCGTGACTGGGATCCATGATGGCTCAACGTTGTTGTCTTGCTGCCTAGTACACACAAGTTATGTAGTCCACTGTCCTTGTAAAGGTATGTACGTTGCTACGTTGTCGTTCCTTGTCTGGATATGTAAAGACAGGTTGTCGTCAATTTACTGTACGTCAAGGGATGACGCGTTCTTGTAGGGCTAAACAAGCAGGTTGTAGCTGTAGAACTGACGTGGAGTGGCGTTATCTGTGAGACACAACAGGCAAGTTGTAGACTTTTTACTGTAATGGCCTGACCATTAAGTTTAACCGACGATTGGGCTCAAGCAATAAGGCTATCAGGTGCTGATAATTTATTCTCAAACCAATCTAACAAATGGTTAAAAGCTGAAAATACAAAATAAATACAATTTTACAATGTGTTGAATTAATGTTATTATGTATGAATGTCACATGTAGACAATGGCACAGTCCATAGAACGCGAAATACGTCTGCTGTTATAAAGGTGAAGTTTCCAGTATATCACGGATAAAGAGTTCAAATATGTGAAAAACGATTTGAAGGCATCGAATACAAAGTTATAAATGTAACTCACTCTGTGGTTAGCCACGAATTGTGTCCTAGATGACGTTTGTACGTCTCCAGTTCTGGAATGACCTTGCAATGTTCAATTTGAGATACGTGTAAGAAAGGGAAAGGTAGCGATGATACGATGTTTTAACGTTCTTACAAGTTCTTATAAGGTTTAAAGATGAATAATCCTCCTAGACTGGAGCACATAAACAGATTAAGAATGTATTCAAACGAACTATATAATTGAGGAACGGCGTAACAGAATAATGGCAGCTGTAATCAAATAGTAAGTTTCTATGTATGTTATGGTTTAATGTTATCGATGTTCGTTGTTTCTGTTGTTCTGTTATTTTCATTTTTATAGTTGATGTGTTTCCCACAGTTTTATTTTGTAACCCGTATTTGTTTTCGCTTAATTGATTTATGACTATTGAACTGCGGTATACTTTTAATCTAACCAGAACAGGTTTTAAAATAAATGTGTTTATTTCCTATTCAAAAACCTTCTAATTGAATCATTGCATATTTTATATTGGCTTCTGGCATTAACACCTTTGCTTATCTGCACACTGGCTTATCAAATTTAAATAGGACTTATAAAGAACAACAATTATCTACATGATGAAATTAATATTCGAAACGAGTTTTGAAAATATGAACAACATGTTTAATAAGAACCCAATTTCGTTGAAATATTTTTTGTAACCAAAAAGATGGGAAGTAACCTTAAAATCTGGATTTAAACATTATCTCAAAAGGAAAAAGATAGGTGTATTTAAACACGATAAAAACATGAACACAGACGGAAAAAAAGCTTGGAATGAATCGAAACAATTTGATATCTCGCAATATCTGTCATATCTTTAACACTGCTTTATCTGAAGATATACAGGTGAACTTTACGACGTATGCTCCAGGTTTGCCTAACCTTTTAAGGAATACGCGTACATGTTGTGTCCTGGTGTGGAAAACTGTGAGAAATTTAAGGGGGTACACAACACCTAAGAAAGATAACTCTAACTCTTTGGTCTGTTTCATTGCAGCGTTTTAAAATTACATGCAATATGCAAGACTTTTAAAGATCCAGATCAGAATGTTTACTTGTTGCTAAGAGCAGACGATCAGGCTATCGTAATTCGTTAATCTTGTTAAAAATCCACCTTAATCTATAAATAGTTACAAATTTTTCCATAAATGAATCAGCAAAGAGACAAAACAGGCAAATTTCAAGGCAAAGTTAATGTAAACAAGAAAAACAAGAGATCCGATTTTTTCAAGTGGTCAAATGAAGGGAAGAAGAAGGACCGCGAAATAGTTGGCTTATTTAATGACCACTTAAACTATATTCATGACCACACAGATATAGCAGCAGAGGCTGAGATCACTGATCCACTTTATGGGAAACAACAGTCCTGGGTTGTGGGGAGGAGGATTGTTGAATTAGACCTTCTTGCAGTGGGAATGTACTGCTGTATTTGTAAGTCCCCTCTACACCTGTTTATTTGGTCTAAGTGGCATTATTATGATCCGTTGTGAACTTTGTGACACAGTGACAGATGTCCAGACAGGGAAAAGAGGACCAACTGGAAGTTATGATATCAACACAAAAGCAGCCATAGGTAGGTTTACATTTAGTTATTGCGAACCCAATGATACTTTTCCACAGATTCACCTGCAAGTTACCTGTCGATTTAAACGTTTGTAAGTTCTTTTGTCCCATCTAATAAATACAATAGCTATTGTTCTCTGTGTAGTTTATTTGATGGGACCTTTAAATTTCTTCCAAGAGAAATCTATCACTCACTGATTAATTTACCTGAACAAAAAATTGAACTGTCAAAAATGAAAATACATGTACAAATACTAAGTAAGGACTCAAAAAAACTGCATTTGGTGTTGTTTGTTTATTTGTTTTTTGTTTTGTATTTATTCAATATCAATAATTCATTTTTAATTGTTTCAATATAAACACTGATTCAAAAATTAAAAGTTGATTTCTGAACAATTTTTTTATATTTTCCCTATTAAAATTTGCTTTTTTTTGTGTGTTTGACAAATAAAAACTTGAAACTTATTGTGTTTAAATTAAGGTCTTGAAAAAAGTAATCTATAACTGAACAACAACAAAAACATGCAAATTCATTGGAACAATACTTAAAATTTTGTCAGAAATAAACTTTTTATAATTAAATCAGTGTTTACAGTACGGGTAGAGAATTATTACTATAAATAACGGACTGGGACATGTCGGAAATGAATAATCGGACATTTTTATGGTAGGTAGTTTGGTCAATAATCAACAGATCCAGGTGTGAATGGTAATATATTTGTCCTTTCTTCTTAATCCGTGCTACCAGACAATTACGCTTCACTGATTTCAGAATCATGTAACATGTAATTTTAACCTCTCAGTCACTTAATTGATTATATTAGTTCTACATCGTATTTGACATAAAATATTTTTACAGGTAAAATACTGGAAAAAACTTTGTTTTAAGAAAAATAGCCTAATTTTTTAATTATGGCTTTTTATATTTCAACTGCTATTTATATTCTTTGTTCCTTAAAATAATTTTTATTTTAAGTTCCTTTTTTTTTTTGTATCTTTTTCTTATTTGTTTGCATAAAGTTTTTTTTACATATTTTCATTTTATTTCTGGGAGGTTATTTTTGTTTTACTGATTTATTTTCCACGTAAATTCATTGATTAGCAGAATGTTGTGCAAAGTGCTGCTGCATACGTTTTAGTTTGATGCGGTCACATGCAAAATATTGCTATATTTAACCACACTACATTTGTATTTAATATTCAGTCTGTGTTGGGTCAGTTCCGAGATAAAAATAATTACAGTGAGCAATACTTGTATACTAGTAGTTTGATGATTCTTTATTGTGTGAATTTACTTTTTACTGTAAACAAATATTGTCCGAAAGTTGGAGATATGTAACTAAAATAGAACGCAAATAATAACAATTCTCCTCGGGCATAAGGTTTATTTTAATTTTTCTGTGTTTGTTAAATATGCATGAAATTATTGCCACTGACATGACTGGACATTAAAACTAGAAGCATTAAATTGTTTGATGACCAGTTAATTAAATATTTACTTTGTTTTTGTAGTCTGAAGAAATGCAAATACTCCCATTTAAATAATTTAATGGTGCTGCATTGACTCTTAATTGCATAATATTTATTTACGCAAAATCCATGTAAACTTGTATGTTATATTTTTGACAGCAATCTAAAAAAAATATTTTCCGTGAAAAGACAATTCCATGATACACATATCAGTGATCAACAGCGTGTTCACGTGGTTGAACTTTAACTTGACTTCACTCACAATATTGAATGCTAAAAATAGCTAAGATCGATTTTGTCCACTGCACGAGATTTTCATATGGCGGGAAATATCGTAACAGTAAACATGGGTGACCTTACTGAATGACCGTGGGAAAATCCATTCATGATTAAATTTGATGTGGAATGATTGACAGTATTGTGCGTTAGTTCTGAGACTCTTGATCGAGATCCATTAACAATTGATTTACCAGAATAGAAATTTAATCCTTTAACATATAATCAAAACAAGCTAAGCCTTTAGTCTTCTTTAACTATTTTATGTATTATATTTATCAGTCATTTCCCGGATTCCCATTTAAATGATTTAAATAATTTATTCGGAGACCTCCTTTAAAGTTCTGAAATAATACAATTTAAACTGTCGACATCGATTTAAAAAATCTTACTGACTGCACGAGCTTTAGAATGACTAGAAGTACGACGAAAAAGTAAAGACAGCTGATCATGACTAGTGTAAAACTTTGATTTTCGTATATTGATTGACACAATTCGTAAAATATGTTTATAAAAAACACGATTTTCATAAAAATTTCAAACATGAAAATAGAAAGGCAATATCTTTGTTATAATACAACGAGTGTCAACAAATCTGTTATTTCCATTATGTGTAAATTTATTAACAAACAAAAATTAAAAATAATGCTGGGACATAGAATATTGACGTGCATATGGAAAGTTTGTTAATTTTTTTTATATAAAAACTAGAAATCGAAACATGATCACGGCGTTATAAATATTGTATTAAAAAAAACCAATTGTTTCAAACAGATTAACGGGAAATATATGTCAAAATAGAAAGCACTAGTGATCTGTCTGACCAAAATGTTTTACTTGCGAGAAATGATTGACAGGTGTGAATAGACGTAGAGGCACCGACGGGGAACGTGGTATCGAAAGGAAAATAACAGTTTATTCACAATGCCTATATTCAATTTGTTTACATATTTTATAAATACGATATGTTGGCCTTTTACTTAAAATTGTGTTTCTATTAATAACATAAAGGAACAGGACGTTAAAAGGGGGAAATATTATAACCATCAACGAAAACTCGTATAATTTACGGGATTGGTGTCTCAACATTTTGATTTAAACTTCGATTGAAAAAAGTCCTGGTTGTTATAATTTTGAATAAAATGAAGTATTCACGGTTTACAAATACAAATACAAATAGTTTATTGGCTCAAACACAATTACAATAATTGGCAAAACATTTTTACAATACATTGTTAAAAATCGTCTTTCTATCTTTTTCAAGTTAATAAAAAAAGTTGATCCCATATTCATGATATTTAATTTTTATTTTTATTGTAATTTTTCTCTTTAAATACAAAACAATATTTTACATTTATCTATCCTCCATAAATACTAGAATATCTGTACAGGTAAAATTTAATTCTAATCAAGCTGGTACAGATTGATTTACGACCTTCCACTCGGATATTGCACAGGTTAATATCACAGCAGGTGTTAATTACACTGGGACAACTGTCCGACCAGTCTGACATCTAGACGGATTAAGACATTCATAATAATAAGTCTCTACCCGTACTGTACATTGAACAGATTGAAAATATATTATTGATATTGATTAAATACAATATTGCATGCAGTTTATGCGTGTTTATACAACTATTTCCACCAAAAAAGAAGATAATTTTTTGGTCAGGTAAATTAATCAATGAGTGATAGATTTCTCCTAGAAGAAATTTAAAAGTCCCAGTGAAAAAAACTACACAGAGAACAATAGCTATTGTATTTATTCAATAGGACAAGAGAATAGACAAAAGTTTAAATACCCTGGTCAAGAGCAGACGACTCTGTGGAAGACTTTCATTTGGTTCGCAATAATACAATTTTTAGCAGAATCTATAAACAAACATAATCAAGTTCAACCAGGATCTTCTATAGCTAGTAGATTGTACCTGTATACTCCCCTCCATACTCAAAGCTTAAATGCAAAATCTTAAATCCAATTTTGTGCAAAATAAGAAACATTTCTAAATATCTTTTTTTGAACTTTGTTGTTAATGTTTGAATTTGAGTCTCACTCTGTAGAGAAGAGCAAATAACAGACGTGAATCAATACATTAAAAGGAGGGCCTAGGCCCCCTATATTTGTCTCTTAATAATTAAACATGTTTTAAATTTTGGCCTTATTCTTGTAAGCAATAATTTTAAACTTCTCCCCATGAATTTGAAAATTAAAAAGTTAACTTCTCAAGCAAGATTTGTGAACAAGGTAAGAAAGAAAAAACCTTGCACAAGGTAGAAGAATTTGTTCCATTCATTAATATTTTTTTCAGGATTGTTTTAGATTTATAAGTCATGGTTAACAATAATAACAATAAAAATAGATATCTTTGGTTTGATGAATAAAATATATTTCTTTTCAAACATTAAGCATGAATTTATACAAATGATTCATACAAAGACCACATCAATGTCTTCAATAAAGCAGAAACTATATACACCATATGCAGACAGCTCTTAATTGCCCTGATGACAAATCCAGTGCAAAAAGTATACATTGTAATAATATACCAAATATGCTCTAAAATGGAGCATTTATAAGGGAGATTACAACCACTGACCAAGCATTTTAAACCAAATTATCTACTTTCATATGCGTAGATATAGATATTTCAACACACTGAAGTATCCAAGTACACCGTGAGGCAAAGCCCAAGGGTGTATAGGGTACTGAAAGGTGTTAAAATATCCATATCTATGGATTATAAACGTAGATAAAGAATGTTTCCCCAGTCTTAGTCAGAAAACAGTGGTTTTAAGAGAAATTGGACCACAAAGTGTAACATTTTTTAATTATTTAAAACTATTTTATTGAAATTTGAGAATTTGACATTTTAACTGCGCTAACCAATCTAAATCCTAGAAACATAAAGTCAGGGATAAATTTATTTAGTCACTCTCAAACAGTAACCTCCCACTACTATGCCAATGGTCAATATCATAAAACAACATATATACAGGTACATGTATCAGAGCATTTTTTTTCAACAAACAAATATATTGTCCGCTCTATGGTCGGGTTGTTGTCTCTTTGACACATTCCCCATTTCCATTCTCAATTTTATATATATTCAAAAGCCTTTGAAAATATCTCATACCTAAAAATAAAAATTTTGTTTAGAGAAAACATGCATTATTCCTATATCTTTATTCACTTACATCTTCATGCATTGCAGGAATGATACATGCAGGAATAGGACATACCCATCTACAAAACTTTCTTGCTGAATGTAATTTGCCATCTATCAGTAAAAACACTTTGAGGAAGAAGGAGAAGGAGCTTAGTAAACAGATTGGGGAAGTTGCAAACAGATCTTGCAGAACTGCAGAGGAAGAAGAAAAAGCGCAGAGTAACAATAGTAATGTAAGTTTAATAAATAATGTGTTTAATTGATTAAGAAAAATAAACTTTATTCTAATGCAACATGGTTTGTAACGTTTAATATGGTTGAATAACGTCATACATTTTAATGGTTTAATGAATTTGCTGGATCAAAACCAGTTCTACATCACAACAGAAGAACAAACATATTAAAACTTTTTTTTCAGTCAGGTTTCATGTTTACTTACTATTTACTGCTAAACTCTAGACCAAAAGGTATAAAATATTGGACACTATGAAAATAAGCCAGAATTCCTCTATGATTTGCACTTATATATCTGATTTGATGTTCTTATATATAGTTACCGACTATAAAAAGGATTTTAATTGCTCTTTTTTATAAACATATTTTATTTCTACAAATATCCAATATTGATTCATATATCAAAATGATACGCTCAAAAAACTTTCTACCAATTAATAAAAAAAAAAAGGAAAGAATATAATTGTCATTTACCCTGTCTTACATGCTGCCTATAGACTTTCTTTCAAATCTTATTTACATGTATGCATAATACTAGAAATAAAATTATATTTTGATAGGTTGAAGCTAGTTTTGATGGTGGTTGGCAGAAGAGAGGCTCTGGATGGAATTACAATAGTAATAAAGGTAAGAATTAATATTGGTATGCATGATGTATAACAGTAAAACCAGTAAAATCCCAACTTAATAAATCCAAACAATCTAGCTAAAATTTACTATTAAACCTCAAACTAATATTGGAACAAAACAAATTAATGTGTTTTTTTTGGGTGTATTTAATAAATATGATTTACCTACAGAAAAGTAAACCAATTTTAGTTAAAATATGAAATGAATATTCTTGTAATTGTATTATAAAAATCAGAATATATACTAGTAGTAATAAGTCAAATTAAGGCAGTTTGGTCCATGGAAGTATCTTAACAAGCAGAAGACAAAAAAAGACAAATCCTACTTTTTGCAAGAGTAACCTCCCCTGTGCCATTGAACATTTCTAAGTACAGAGGTTAATGGGCCTAAATTAGGACATCTGGATTTTAAATTTACCCTTGATTCAGGAATTAACGATTAATTTCTCAGGATCTGGGAAAGCCAGATATTTCATTTTTCAAGAAAAATGCAATTGAACATTTTTAAGAACAGAGGTTAATGGGCCTAAATCAGGACATCTGGATTTTAAATTTATCCTTGATTCAGGAATTAATAATTTCTCAGGATCTGGGAAAGCCAGATATTTCATTTTTCAAGAAAACATGGTGAAATTCAGCCTTTTTCCAGTCTATTTAAAATGAATGACAACCCTCATACCTCCCCCTTTTAGGAGATTTTAATAATATAATTTGGTGGTTTCCTATAGTATGATTTGTTAATGCAATAAGTTTGAGGTCAAAGTTTATTTTCAGTGGACTATATTAGTTTCAATGTTCTTTGAACCTGTGTAAACTGTTAACTTAAGATATGTATATAAATACAAAATAAAATCTTCAGCCATGAAGGGGTTCACTTTAGATGGGTTCATAAACTGTAATGATGTACCTAAATAATAGAACTGAATGTGTCGGTGAACTACAGTAATTGCTACATTAGTATTTTAATTTTAATCGTATCTGTGTGTATATCACTCTGTCCATCCAGAATCTGGTTAAAGTTTTTGGTCAAGTTAGTTTTTGATAAAGTTGAATTACGTCACATCAACTTGAAACTTAGTACACATGTGTCTTATCATGTTATCTTTCTAAATTGTATGCAATATTAGTCTTCTGACCCACTGAACGTTGTAAATGATACTGTAAGCAGGGCAGCAGAGTACAATGGACATGTACATTTCTTGGAATGGACTTCTTTTTGCCTCTAACAAAAAAGAATTATGTAAGTGATGCTCATTAGGAAAATGTTTGATCTCACAATAAGTACATTTTAACTTTCTACAGGACACTCAACCTTTATTGGAAAAGAATCTGGGAAAGTACTGTCATTTGATTTAAGGAGTAAAACATTTAAGACCTGTGAGTACCACCAATCCAGAAAAGAGACTGTTCCAGATCATGACTGTCAATCGATTTGGCATGGATCAAGTAAAGCCATGGAGGCTGATATGGCTGTAGCAATGGTTCACAGGTTGAAAGATGATGGATGTGAAATCAAAGGTTAATAATATGTTAACAATAAAGCAACAAGAGTTATGTATTTGATGAATTAAGCCAAAAGGTGACACTAAGGTATTGCCTTTCTGGTTTTGCCAATGACTTTTGTGTTCACAAATGGGATAAGCTAAAGTTTAACATGAACCAGTAATTCTATATCAATGAAAGATGATATCCACTATTATAATATGCAGTTGCAATAACATTAGATCATCTCTGATTTCATGTCCATTTCATGTCTATGTTAACGAAGCGTTTTCAATTGACTGTTAAATGTCTATACAAATTCAACGTTACAGTTAACTCAGTAAAGCATGAACCATTAACTAATCATAAAAACAGAACCTTGTGAGCACAACTCAATCTTCTTAAAATTCTCAATGATTAGGGTATGTTCATCATGAAAATTAATGAAAATTTCAATTTGTCAAAATTTTTCTGGTCCTAAAGTTTAGTTCTTTATGTATATTCTCATATTCTGTTTCAGTTGTGCATGCTGATAATGATGTATTAACAACAGCAAGACTTCAAGTTGAGTTTGACAACATTTCAAAAAAGGACGACCAGAACCATGTCAAAAAAAGTGATATCTACAAGCTTGCATAATATTTCTTTTGTTAATCAACAATTTTGAAAAAAAAAACAATTACGGTAGTAGAAATGTTATGCATGTTAAAGAATTGTCATTTGAAAGCGTCTAAAAAACAACAGCACAGCAAAAGAGTGAAGTTTATGCCCATGGAGAACAATTTATGAGTTTTCAGTGAACATTGAGGAATCATCACACTCAGAGGTAGATGGTGGATGGCCCATACACAAAACTGTATACTAACTTAATGAAATGGATGACTCTAACTGTATTATATTTGGTAACAAACATTTTAAAAAACAGACATGTGGTTTAAAAACTAGTCTTGTATGGACAAATCAGGATTTTTTTAACATTAAATAATTATATAAACATCTTGATTTTTTTTTAACTACAATAATAAAAAGATAACGCATTTATATATATTCAACAATGATGGGGATTAAAAAACACTGGCATAATTTCATCTGCTTATTTGATTTTTCTTATTATTTTTTTTTAGTGCATTTGAATTATATATTATAAACTGCAGTGAATACCAAAAATATATGTATATTCCAACATCAAGACTTTGAGCTTTTAAAATGCACCTTTTTTTTATTATACCTACATTATATTCATTGATATGCATAATTTTTAAAGAGTTATCTTCCTCTTGCATTTCTGGTTGCTGTCTGGTAATTGACTGCTCCATAGGCTTACATGCAAAACGGCTGATCTTTGAAATGTTTTTAAAAATGAAATGCTACATAGAAAAAAAATTTCATGTGCATATCATGTATGTAGTAATGTGAAATAGAGATTTAATCTAAAAAAGTGGGGGTTGCCACACAGAATAAAAAGTTAAGTAACCTTGTAATCATAACTATTTTTTTCTACTTTCTGTTTGCTGTTTTTACTTGGTCGCACCAATTCCAGTAAACATGATAACCTTCCACTTTCCTGGTTACAGGTTTCTTTTTAAAATAAATGTTATATAAATTATTCAGCATAAACTTTTAATCAAACAGAAAAAAATGAGTGCCAAAACTGGAGTTTTATAACAAAACTAGTACTTCTGTAACAAAATTGTGTGTTTTTTTATTATTAAGTTTGGTGTTAACTAACAAATGAAGAATTAATCAAGAAACAGTAAGCTAATGACCCTTTTAATCATTTGCTGACGAGGCTAAACTAAAAAAAATAGCAGGCTGTAAGTCAACTTAGTGATTAGCACACCAATTTAAATAAACTTGTTGCAACATGCAGTGTAATATGTTCTCTGCATGCACATTTATTTAATAATTTATATTGCAGTTACAGGGAGTTGCAGAAAGATGAAACCAGGCAGTACTTTTTGAGATGTTTAATGTATGCAATAAAAGGAGGAAAGTCAGAAAATGACATCAAAAGTAATCTGGAAAGAATTGTGCCACATGTTTTTGGTAGTCATGAGAAATGTGAAGATGTTGACTGGTGTACATATACATGTAACACAAATCCTGAAAATTCCAAGTAAGCACAATAACTCATTATATTATAGATCTACTATTAGGCAATGAAGGAAATAATTTGACATCTCCTCATTGGAGTTATTGCCCATTATTGACCATTTTTCCATTTTTGCGTTTGCTGTAAATGATAATAAATTATATTAGATATATAGACATTTTAAATTAAATAAAATGCTCCGTAGGGTGCACCTTGATACGACCACAGAGGTCAAACCCTGAACAGTTGGGGCAAGTATGGACACAACATTCAAGCTTGATGCAGCTCTGAATTTGGATTGTGAAGAAATATTTGACACAGAATAGGTTTCTGACACAGAATGAATATGGTCTAAAAACTTAAAAATTTTAAATTGGACATTTACCTATTATGGTCCAATATCCAAAATCTAAATACATGGTCAGATTCAGCATACCGAAGAACCGCAAGAATTCAATTTTTGTTAAAATCAAACTAAGTTTAATTTTGGACCCTTTGGACCTTAATGTAGACCAATTTGAAAACGGAAACAAAAATTAAGAATCTAAATACACGGTTAGATTCGGCATATTAAAGAACCCCAATAATTCAATTTTTGATGAAATCAAAGTATAATTTTGGACCCTTTGGACCTCAATGTGGACCAATTTAAAAAAGGGGCCCAAGATCCAAAAACTTAATACACAGTTAGATTCAGCATATTAAAGAATCCCAAGAATTCAAGATTAACACCCCATTGAAATTGGTTAAGAAATATGCAATTTATACAAAGTATAAAAAAAAGTATTGTTTTTGGCCCCCTTTTGACCCCTTATTCCTAAACAGATAGGGCCACAACCCCAAAAATCAATCCCAACCTTCCTTTTTTGGCATGGAACCTTGTGGTACAATTTCAGAAAGATCCATACACTTACACACAAGTTATTGTCTGGAAACTAGAAAAATGCTTATTTGGTCCCCTTTTTAGGCACTTAACTCCTAAACTTTTGAGACCATAACCCCCAAAATCAATCCCAACCTTCCATAGAGATCCATACATTTAAACATATTAAACTAAAGTTATTGTCCGGAAACTAAGTGTCTTCGGACGACGCGGACAACGACAACAACGTGATACCAATATATGACCGCAAAAGATTTCAGCGGTTGTATAAAAAAATGATGAGCCAGTCAACATCTAATAACAAGTCAAATATGGCCGATATATAACGGAAGATAGAGAGAAACTAAACAGACTAAAGGATAATCAACAAAAAAGAGATTTTTGTCATAAATTCTGTTCTGGTATCAGGGGTGTGTAAATGCTATGCCTGACTCGCCCGACTCGTACATTTGAACAACCGGACAATTAATTTTCTTTGTCTGGGTTGCCCGTGGACAGAAAAAATTACACTAGACAGAATTTAATTTAATCAAAAATATAGAAGTATTTTCACAACTTACTAAGATGTATTATTTTATGTAAAAGAAACCAATGATCAACACATGAAAAACATTTATTTAAGTCAAAATATCAGTGTTCAGGACGACAACGAAAACGCAGGAGGAGGAAGAACGGGAATATGAAAAAATAAACAACTTCGCCATGAGCGCATGATATGCCCGTCGTCTTGTGTGTGAATTTTTATGCAATAATCATAAATAGTTTCTGACATACGGCGCAACATGCGAAAACTCCCCCTTTTTTTTTACAAAAAACTCAATATCTCTAAAATAAAATTTTGAATCAAAACCAAAAAGTATACAGATCTTTAGATTAATATAACTAAGAAGTGTGTAAAATTTTAAGCAATAATCATAAATCGTTTTAGAGATACGGCGCGACATGTGAAAACCCCCCTTTTTTAAAAGAAAAGTCAATATCTCTAAAATAAGATTTTGAATCATCACCAAAAAGTATACAGATCTTAAGATTAATATAACTAAGAAGTGTGTAAAGTTTTAAGTAATAATCATAAATTGTTTTTGAGATACGGCGCGACATGTGAAAAAAACCACACACCTGTTTTAGTTACTAAGTCCCGTATCTCAAAAAGTTTTAATTTTATTTTCACCAAAAAGTATACAGATCGTTTGACCATCATAAGAAACAACAATGCTAAGTTTCATGAAATTTGGATAAGTCGTTCTCAAGTTACGATGCGGTGCGACATGTTTACGCCGGACAGACAGACGGACAGACGACATTTATATACCATAATACATCCCGTCAAAATTATGACGGGCGTATAAAAAGGCAAGCGAGAATTCCAGACGTCGTGGCTTACAGATTTCCCCTGGCTCTCCAGTAAAGAAACTGAACATAAATTAAATTTTTGATTAATTTGTAGGAAACTAACCCACAACTTGCTGATCAAAAGTCTTTAAACTTATTTGTTGGCAAATTAATAGATAGAAGGGACACTTTGGTGACTCATCAATGCTCTGCAGAACACCAAACTTGTCAGATGAAAGAAAACAGTATAATTAACACTAGGTGTCTGGGGGGAAATGGATAAAGCATTGCAAAATTGCCCTCTAGATGTCTTGGTGTTTTATGTTGGGTTTCTGTCTCATTGATGTTCATATGATGTCAACCCTAGACCTCCTTTTATTTAAACACATAAACAAATATATCACAATTAACTTCATTTATATTGTGATACAAAACAGTTTTAAGAATCATAGAAGCTAATACAGTAAAATACTTATTGGAAAATTCAGGGCATGTAACTTTTTATCTGGACAAGTAAAATTTTCAGTTTTACTTGCCCAGGGACAAGTGCTCACAACAAATATTTCCTCACCCCTGACCGGTCTATAATTTTGGGGATTGTCCTTTGTTGATAAGGCATAAAAAAAGATATGTGTTTCCGGTAACCCGAAGTAACTTTTTTATGGCGTCGGCAAAAAAAACCAAAAAAACCCTACCTACCTACCCTAATATTGAAAAGGGTGTTACTGGAATTT